GGCCGGTTCACCTTTTGAGGGGCCCGAGCCCGGCTCGGAACCCCAGCGGGTCGGGCCTACCCGGACCGGTCCCTGGCCGGGCCGGCGGTTCGGGCCGGTTCAAACACTGAGCGGGTCGGGCCGGTTCCGGGGCGGGCCGCTCGGCCCGAGTCCACCCCTAATGACGTTACGTTCCCTTTATGCGTTGGAGAAGGTTTTAAACTTTCACTTTGGTAGGTTTCAACGTTTACCTTAGGTGGAATGACATTCCATACATTTTTTGCCATGTGTCAAGTATTTGTTAATTTCAAAAGCTTAGCATTGGAGATGCTCTTAGTGTCTATTAACGAGTACGTCATATATATAACTTAATATATATAACTGCAATACAATTTAAGTTTTCATGTGTGATAAAAACTTAGCCAGGGCCGGTCGTGGAAAATTAGAGACCCGGTGCGACAAAAAAAGTGAGCCCTTCTTGACAACACTAAGAGAAATAGAACATAAATAATAATGGTAATAGTAATAAATTACCGTAAATTACTGTTAAAATTCAAGTTAATTTTGAACATAATAGCAAAAACAAATGTATTCAATAAAAATAATTTAGTTTTTACTTTATAACTTTAACCCACCACCTAAAAAGTAATAAGAAATAACAATTTTTACATTTACACCAAATTATTAAACATGACTAGTTTAAATAATTCATCAATTAATTACACAAAATAAAAAACAACAACCACAATACCTAATTTGTTAAATTCTATATGGAATAATAGATTACTAGATTGGGAGGCCTAAGTAAACAATAAATAATCTACTCTACTAATAGTCCAAAGTTCCGAACATATAAGAAAAACAATTAAAACAGCCTAAATGTCTAATAGATGTATAGAACTTACCGGCGGACAGAGGAGATTCCAGACTGGGGGCGTGCCGGTTGTGGACAGCTGCTGCAGCAGGGGCGGATCCAGGAATGAGGGGTGAGGTGGGCTAAGTAGTAAAAATTTTCGTTATTGCATACAAAAGGTTTAGCTTAGGACTGATAGTTATTAAACTGAGTTTTTTTTTTCAAACTACTCGAGTTCGATCATGATTTCGAATTTAATTTAATGACCAAAGCTTAACGAGCTTCAATCTCGAACACGGGCTAAATTTTAGTTTTAATAGTTTGTTTTTACAAAAAAACGGCCGTTATTTTTTTGAGTTTGAATAGTTATTCAAGCTGAATTCGAGCATAGTCATGTTCAATTCGATCTCGACTTGAGCATATTCATAACTTATAAATTATAGAAATAAACTATATACTACCTCCGACTTTTATTAAGACTAATTTGACTTTTCAAGTCAAAGAAGTTAAACTCTGAATGACTATATATTTATACAATAAAATTGATAATATGAAAATGAAATGGAAATGTTCTTTGTTAAAAAGTTTATCATAAAAGTATAAATTTAGTAAGTTTCACATTAATACATGAGTTAAAATGATGGATCAAAGTTTACCATCTTTGAGTAAAGAGTCAAAGATGGCTAAATAAAATGAGACAGAGGTAGCATATCTAAAATTTAAACGTTTTTAGTGTGATTTATAATTTTATTATTGATTATTAAATATTTTAGTATTTATTGATATGAATTACTCCCTCTGTCCCTAAAAGAAATTTCATTTCGCTTATCGAGGGTCAACTTAAATCACTCTTAAACTCTTACTTTTTATATCAAAATTTTATAAAAGTTGAATTATTTTTTGCAGGCTTTGTAGCAGGTTTAATGTAGTTTCTGAATATGTAAATTTTATATACTAAAAATAATCCGAGTTTTCACAGGGATCATTTAACTTTATCATCGGTCAACCTTCGTAGTCCGCAATTGGAACAACATTTAGGGACGGAGGGAGTAAAATACTTCTATAAAAGTATAAAACTAATAAGTAAAAATAGTCGATGTACATAAAACTAATAAGTATTCCCAATTTTAAAATTGAATTGAGATTTTGAATCCATTCTTACATGCCTAAACAGTAAATACATCGTTCTCTATTCTTTAATTGCATTATAAATAAATCATTTTCTAATCTTTAATTCTATCTTTAATCATTATAAATTTATAATACTCCCTCCGTCCCCCTAAGTTTGGGACGGAGGGGTGTGGTGTAGTTTTTAAGAAAAAGTGGAATTGTGTGGTTGATATTGAATTGATAAAGTGTAAATAAAATAAGAATGAATTCTAACCACTCAAATGTTACCAAATATGGTACGGGACAAACTTAGTGGGACGGACGAAAAAGGTAAAACGGGACAAACTTAAGGGGACGGAGGGAGTAATAAATAAAAACTATTTTACTATCTACTGAAAAAATTCAATTAATAGTCAAATAGAATTACAAAGTTGGTAGGCTTGGGCTGGGCTAGACATTAGTTTTGAGGTGGGCTGGAAAATAAACCTATACCTATAATAATAAAAATAAATTGGGCTGGGCTGGGCTGGAGCCCACCCCTGCCCCAACATAGATCCGCCCATGTGCTGCAGAGTGCTGAACCGGTGGAGAGAGGACTGCCCGAGGTGTGGACGTGCGGTGCTGGACGGTGGACGCCCGGAGCCCTGGACCTTGAAGAATTGCTGGCGTGATGACTGGCTAGCATATAGTAGTAGTACTACGTATTTTATATTGTGCATGGGTTTCTTAGAAGTGTTCACCACCAATCGGTTTAATATTTAAATCCGTTGTGCAATGTGCATGAGTGCAATGCATCTAGGGGTGGATTTGGGTCGGGCTGCCCGGCCCGGTACCCGGTCTTGGGGTCGGTTCGGGCCAACCGGAACCGCTCTAATCTCGGTGTGGGCTCAGCCCCCCTAAAATGCGAACCGGCCCCACCGGTCCGGGCCCGGTTCAGGCCTATTTTTTTTTTCACTTTTTTTGTTTCTACTGGGTTGGGTTAAGTGTTTTGTGGGGTGGGGGGTGAAGGGGGTCGGGGGTTATTTAGAAAATCAAAAGAAAAAAAAAAAATAACATTGAACCGGAACCGGCCCGGCCCGAACTGGAACCCCCGGCTACCCGGGCCGGTTCCGGTCCCACCATTCCCAAAAAAAAAACGGAACCGGCCCGGGTCCATCCTTAAGTGCATCGGTTGTTTCAGACTTCAGTCTATAATGTTTAGTTTTTGAGAAGTAATTTTTGGATAACAACGTTATGTTGAGTATAGAAACGACTTCGTATTACAAAGAATTATATGGTGCGTTTGTTAACTTCGTTTTTTTAGAACTAGTATCTTTTGCACATATTTTGAGAACTTCTAAAAGATGAATCATTTTAGAAATAATAAGATAAGACATTAAGACATACAAATAGAGTTATAAATGAACCGAATCGAGTCGAATAATGAGATTTTGTATTTGTATTTGTTTAATTTTTTTGAATACGATTTCGAATTCAAATATGAAACGAATATTAATTTTGATTTGTATTTGTATTTGTTTAACAATATGAATAGTTAACGAATCATATGCGAATATCGAATCGATTTGAACATAGGTTAAAGATTAGTCAAATACTCACTCCGTTCCTAAAAATTCTTCCCGGTTTGACTTGGCACGCCTATTAAGAAAGTGGAATAAAGTGGAAATGTGTGGTTGTGGTTGTGTGAGAAAAAAGTAAAATCAATGTAAGCCACACAAATTGTCCAAAAAAGGAAAGTGAGAAGAATTTTTGGGAACGGCCCAAACAGGAAAGTGGGAAGTATTTTTGGAAACGGAGGGAGTATCACTTTAAAATAACTTTTCTTATACTCCATATTGTTTATGTTGTAAATGCATATTATGACTTAATATGTGTTTTTAGAATTTAAATTTAATGGATCTATACTAAAGTGCATTTTTAGATGGTGCATAATATACTAAAGTGAATTAATTTTATAATTAATAAATATAAATCTATTTCAAACTTTTTGAAATAAACACTGACACACACCTATTAGAAATTATGCTTATAATGTGTGAAATAAGTTGATAAAAATAATGATATCAAATAATTTGTGATCATTTGTGTTCATTCATATCAGAAAATACGAAGAATGTCTTAAAAATAAAAATAAAAATACAAATTAAGGATAAAAATCTGATATTTTATACAAACTGATTATCTTAGGCCCAGTATGATATCGAGTTTTCTGTTTTTGTTTTTGAAAAACTGTTTTCAGTTTTTTGAAACTATTTTAGTGTTGGTGTTGATTCATTTTGACCTTTGGATTTTCTGATGTGTAAGCAAAGATGTTTTTTTGTAATTTGCTGGTCTGGTCTGGTCTGGTCTGGTCTAGTCTGAACTGATCTGATAAGGTCTGGTTTCTTTGTATTTTTATAACTATCCAAGTCTGGTCTGGTCTGGTCTGAACTGGTCTGAGACAAATTACAGTCCAAGTAAAAACATCCTAATTACTTCGTACAAAACAGGACTATGTATTTTGTCTTTGTCATTTTTTTCGTTGGAAAACAAAACGAAGTGATACTGAATGGAGCCTTACTAACTTTTCATTTTTGGATTTATCTTTCATTCCATCACATTATTTCACTATCTTCCCATCATACTCTCAATAATTCATATCCTCTTTCACTATTCTTAATCTCACCCACTTTGGAAGTGAGAAGATATATGTGATACGGAGGGAGTATATTTCAATCTTACTCCCTCCGTCCCTTATAACTTTGCCAACTTTCCTTTTTTGGTTGTCCCAAAAACTTTGCCACTTTCCCTTTTAATCAATCAATTTGTGGCTCCTGTTATTTCTCTCTCCTCTACACAAATTTCTACCACACAGTTTTTACTTTATTATTCTACGTGCCGGTCAAACATGGCAAACCTTTAAGGGACGGAGGGAGTATAATATTGTGATAGTTATGCACATATAATCTTGGTAAAATTTTGATGTATAAATTTTATTTAGTAATTTAGAAAGACGACTTCTTTTAACAATTTTTGCAACAATTATTTGATTTCAGATTTAGATAGTAATAAAATATATGGAGATCTGTATCATACCGTTCAGACCAAATCAAAAAAATACTGATCCAATTAAAATTAATAGGATCCAAACAGATTTTAATTTTTCTAGGAACTAGGAAGCAAACTCTGTAGATTTAGCAGTTTCAGTATATATTTCGTCAATTTATTGAATTGAAATTCTTCAATGTGCGATCCAAATTCACGGCAACCTATTTGTTCGATCTGAATTGAAAGCAAAATTGGACAAATGTCTTGCATTGCATTGCAAAATTGGAGAAAGGCTAATCGTAGCTTCCATTTCTGAAGCTATGAAACAAGGACTCAGAAGCACTTTTGTCAACTAAGACCAAATTTTGGGACGAAAAGGTAGACAGCAACGCCAATCCGAGATCCATCCAATGGAGGATCCGTATGAACGATCTCCACATCGAATACCTTCTTAGCCTTCTTGAAGAATCCCGATTCCTTCTTCCATCTCCTCAGGTGCGCCATCACGAAGGCCGTCTTCCTTTCCCTTTCCCCGCGCCCTAACAGGAAGAATCTCAGCGTTTTCAGCAGCGGCTCATACAGATGATCGTGATACACCACGTCAGATCCGAGTATCAGATCGTACTCTCTCCCGACGGCTTCCATGTCCTCGGTTTCTCCCCACGATAGCGCCGCCGCTTCAACAGCGCCGCCGCGCTTTTGCAGAACTTCCGAGTTCAAGTCAACGTTGAATTGGATGTTGGGGAGGACGTGAGGGAGGTCTGTGACGGTGACTCTGGCGCCGAGTATCGCCGCGGCGGCTATTCCGGTGACACCGGTGCCGGAACCGAGCTCGAGTATTCGGAGACGGTAACCCGCCTCTTGACGCGCGAACAAGGCGGAGAGGGTGGGGTGAACTTGGCGGCGGGTATCGAGGAGGTTGACGAGAGTGGCGGCGGCGGGCCAGAGCTGGAAGGAGAGGCCTTGGGAAGGGAGCTGCCTGATGAGAATGGTTGAGTGGATCGATTGGAGATTGTAGCGTTGGTGTTGGAGAGACACTGATTCCTGCAATTCTTCTTCTTCTTCTTCTTCTTCCCGTGGGAGCAGCATCGTGAAAGGATTGACCTCATCATCGGAATGTTCTACGTCATGTGGGCTACTCCAATCAGTCATGGTTGCTCCGGCTAACGGCGGGGCGTTCATAAATTTTCAAATGTTTCGTATTTCAGGCGGAACCCTTACGGCGGCCTTTATCACTTGTGTTGTTGATTCAGACGAGGAAAGAGGGAGATTGAGGTGCAACTGTAAAAGTGAGCGTTTGGAGATATAGGATGTTTTTTTTTTACCGTTTTCGATCCTAGACCAGACCAGATCAGACTTCCGCAGTTATAAATTACACACAGATCAGACATTTACTAGACTAGACCAAACCGGTTCAGACCAAACTATATCAGATAAAACCAATGGACCAGACTAGCAAATTTCAGTTCAAAAGAAACATCCTTAGTCTTTTTTGAAAGAAAGTTGTTTATATTATACGTAGTACTATCGTATATAATCAGATTTCAGTCAAATTACACAATAAAAAGATCTCTCCAAAATTAGTATAACTCGCTGATTCTAAAAATGATCACAATTAGACTTGGAATCAATCACTAACCAAAAAGTAATATAACTCTATGATTCTAAAATGAGAATAATTGAGTCAAAGATGACCGAAACATACTTCCCTAAACAGTAGAGTACTACTCGTAGCAAACAAAAAACACAATAAAACATCCAATTCATAATGAAAAACTAAAATTAAAACACAGACATTTAGATGAAGATGCTTCCCCATAACAGCGAGAAGCTTAAGCTTGTAGCTTTAATGAAAGAATTTCTTCAGAGACCAGGCGGGCCTGGTAACTAGCACCCGCTTTCACCACGTATGTCTCCTCGTCAGTACCCTACCTGTCCAACTGTCATTGTCTTGGAGCGACCAACCAAGGCTGCACGTTTCATGAGCAATACAAACTCCCGTTCATCCATCATTGTTAACTCTTCTGACGTTCCAACCACATATTGATAGGGGTGAAGGAAATCCTAACACCTACAAGAGGGAAACGGCTGCTAGGTCAAGAGAGAGCACAAAGTTTACGGAGGAGCGTTAAGCAAATCTGTTAAGATTTTCACATATTAGTCTTAGGATGTTTGCATTTTTCTTAAGCTCTCTTATTATGAATTCTTCTCCCGCGACCTTATCTTTTAAAAAGGACGGAGATGTTTCAAAGAATTAAGTTTTATAAGAAAAGAGAAGTCACCAATTTGCATTTGACCTTATATCCTTCATACGTAGTACTTCCGACTTCGTATGTATTATTTTTGTACTATGTAAAGTCAACTTCCCTATGGACAGGCCCGGCCCAGCCCATGTGCAACTGGTGCAACTGCACAGGGCCTCCAATTTTGTAAGGGCCCCCAATTTTTATTACCCTTATAGTATACCTAGGCCCATTAGTAAAAAATAATTAAGATATACAGCCTGATCCAGTAGAGCGTAAAGCATGTGTCTCATCAGTTTCCAATCCTCGCTGATAGCCTAGGCTTATACTGATAGTCTTGGCTCTTCATCTACGATATTTTTGGGGAATCGAAGCAACGAAGCTATTTTTGAGGAGAATACCGAGATTGATGATTCAGTCTACGAAAACATCGGAAAGGCTTGTAAAATAATCAATTTATTCTATTTGTTGTTAGGATTTTAATGTTAAATATCTCCTATGTTCCATTATTTCCGAACGTCTTGGCTCTATCTCCTACGATTATCTCCCTTCGATTCCCATAATTTCTAAACCTCTTTCGATTTCTTCATTCTTTTTCAATCTTTCATTCTTCAGTCGGAGACTTTTGTCCTGTGTGGTTGCGAACTGCGATTACAACAAGTCAAGGCGTCAAGCGGGAAAGCAACCTGATTCCAGAAACGATGGCATGGCCGCAGAACTCAATAGCTCCATGCCTCCATTAATTAACATATTGAGTAACTGAGTAGCTGATTGTTTTTGTTTTCTTCATGTAATTGGTTATATTATTAGTTTTTAATTGTTAATTTGGATGAGTCTACATCTTAGAATGATAGGATTGTTTAAATATGTGCAGAATATGTTCAAATATTGGATGAAATTTTGATGTTCTTGCCTCTTGGTATATTACTTCAATAAGTAGAATTCAATTTTATTAGTATGAAGAGTTGTGATAAAATTGTACGAAGTATATTATGTTTTATTTTATTATTAACATTTTTTGTATAATATATTAGGGCCTCCGATTTTATTTTGAATAGGGCCTTCCATTTGTTAGGGCCGGGCCTGCCTATGGATAAGGGGTTCTTTGAAGAAACTTGGATTCTGTGCTCACTGCTCAGCCAGGGAAAAGAAGACCAAACGAGTGGATTGCGAAATCCCATGGCCTGATGGAGGGTGTCCTGGGGCATTGGGTGTAAGATTTCTGAGTACTATATACGGAGTATATAAAATATAAGCCACAATGTCATATACTACGTACTTCACAGCATTCACACTAATATTGTTAAATTTACGCTTCATACACTTTAATCATGTCAAAAAGTTTTAATGAGTAATTGAACATGAAGGCACAAAGTGTAATTGCCACCTTATTCAGCCTCTTACGAGCCTTACGACGTACTTCCACTTTCAATTAGTACAAACTTTGCATTGGATTCCTTAAAGTACAGTATTTTAACTATATATTGACGATTAATTTGGGAAATTAGTATTTGATACTCCCTCCTGTTCTTACGTAAGTATACGTATCGATAAATAAAGACACCTTGTGCATAATTGTTCTCATAGCTAACTGATTATTATTTTTGACAAGATTTTGCTGACCAATAAAGTATCCTGCTCATATATACTTCACTTTCGTTTCCGCTTTTAATTCTCATAAATCAATGGGGGGTATGAATGTATGATTGTCAAATTATCACACATAACTTATATAATGGGATAAGGGTCAGTTTGGTCCTCGAAGTTGCAAAAAAGGTGTCAAATAAGTCCTTATATAGAAGATTCTATCCGGACGTGCAATTTGAGGTGACTCCCGGTGGAATTTTTTGATGAAATTTTTTGAGCATCTTATTCATTAAGTCTAGTTTACTCATACCAAATTTCAGATAAAAATTCAATGGGGAAGACATTCAAATGAATTCTTGAAGATAACTGTGCCGTTAAAACTTAAAAGCGCTGTTATCTTCAAGAATTCATTTGAATGTCTTCCCGATTGAATTTTTAGCTGAAATTTGGTATGAGTAAACTAGACTTAATGAATAAGATGTTCAAAAACATTTATCACAAAATTCCACCGGGAGCCACCTCAAATGGCACGTCCGGACAGAATCTTTTATATAAGGACTTATTTGACGCTTTTTTTGCAACTTCGAGGACCAAACTGACCCTTTACTCCTTATATAACCTTCAAAGTCATGGATACTTAATTGAGAATAGATGGATTCTCAGCAAACAGAAAGGGGAAGAAGAGAGAGAATGGAATTAGCCAAGTCAACACCATCACTTTTCAATAAACCAATCGCATTGCATGCATCATCATCATTCAAACTGGTTGGGGTTGGTGACTTCGTGGCACAAATAACACTAAAATGTCAATGAATTGCAGAAACTTACTCGATGCATCTTATGATGTAGATGCACTCAACTAAGGGGCTTGGGGACATAGTTCTCCATATTAACTCTTAACCTCCTGTAACTAATGCATCACGGAATCCCAGGAATGCTCAAACTGGGAATAAGCGCGCTGATTTTCATTTCCTGTTAAAGTAACCTGGTCAATACTGGATCAGCTTGAGTTAATGATTTTTGAAGTCTTCAATGACCACACGTGCAGCATTGCGTCCAGGGGCTGCCATTACTCCCCCGCCAGGATGGGCCCCACTCCCGCACAAATATAAACCTTGAAGTGGAGTTCTATAATTTGACCTGGGCATTGTTAACGTTTTTCAATAAGACAACCATCCATGTAACCAGTCACTAATAACTAGCGTTTATTTGAAACAAATGTGTGGTAAATCAATGTTATGAAAACTTCATTTGATCTTACCATCCTTTTACTGGTCTCATGAGAAACAAAGAATCTAACCCCATTGAACCGTGGAATATGTTCCCTCCTGTCAAAAGTGAAAGAAATGCACGAATGTAAGACTCACTTGGTGTCACACTGAAACTAGCGAAACATTTGTTTGTGCATTGAAATCTCTGCACAACAGCGAAATAAGGTTTTGGCAATGAACATGTATATTTGGTAAAGGGTACTTGGTTAATGACGGAATCAGCTGATATTTCGTGAAAGAAGAACAATCATAATATCAGCTAAATCAGTCAAAGCTACTTATTCTGCCAAAAGCAACATGAGAGAATAAAGTGTATTACCAAATGGAGACAAAATATCCATGTACTACTATATTAACAATACAATATGGTGAAACATAAAAAATATGTAGTATAAAATATTCATTTCATATTATGTCTCCTACTTACACATCTGAAATCCTTTTTGGTAACCATGTCAACAAATAATCTTGTTCATTCCAAAACTCGGTAGTAATAACCTGGTTTACCCTACTCGGTACCCTAACTTTGTTTGACCGACTTTATATCAAACACACTAAAACACTCGATAACAAGAATGTAGATGCCAGTTATACCAACACTCAGTTCCCAACTTAGCTCTAAAACTGCTATAATCTATTCGAATCGTGTTCATGTAAACTACTCATGAATATAAATTCAGAAAATTTCCAAGTGTACAAATACAACTAAATTTTACAGGTTGTGAGTTGGTGGATTATAAACCATATATGGATATGCCAAACTTATCTTCCGAAAATGGAGGGAACTCTGACCCTAAAACATGAGATTTCCATACGCAGGTCATGCAAAAAGGAAGTAGCGGAGACTAAAACCAATTATTCCCTCCGTCCAAAAATTCTTATTTTTGGATAAAATGGAAATAATCGTCCAAAAATGATTGATATTATAAAAATGTGCATATCTTAAAGAACCTTTCAGAATGATTGAAGCTAATGAAAAAATAAGCTTTATGCACAAACACATTTTAATGTAGGAAGAGTTAATGAAAAAAATGTTATTCACAAAATGGCAATTATTGTGGAGAAAGAGTTTTGCGAAAATGACATTTAATTTGAGAGAGGGAGTGAGAATTATTAGTGAACTGGATGACCATTAATTTACTGTCCAAGAGTGAAGGATTGAGTTTACTAAAGAAAATTGGAGTTGATAAGTAATTTCAATTCACACTCCAGCTAAAGTCATGACATATCTTCACACCTATAACCTGATTTCTGAGGTTTATTTAGCTACATAGCATTTAACTGAGCTCAGATAACTAGATAAGCATGCACATGATACCTGTCAGGCCAATCTCTCTTTCAAGATCTGGTGGAGTAAGCATGTCATAACCAATAATAG